ACTTCTCGCCAATACATTTCCCTATTATACTTGCTGCAATCTACTTGCCAGCAACATGGCGGCCGTCAATTTCCGGTGCGAAGCGGCAGCGTCAAAAACATCAAAGGAGTGGCCTTTCTGTTCATTCTTTATTCTGTGGTAATAGTGCATGTTTCAGTCGGGCAAATCTTGATTAATATTTGATACGCCGTTTTTTGCATATTTCAGACACATCCAGAAATATGCTCCCGATTTTAAAGATTAATATCTCCGTGAATTTTTAAGTGAAATACAACTGTAATATATCAAAATCTAAGTTAGTCCTTCCTCTATTTAATGCAAGTTATTTCTCTAAAAAAGCTTTACCTGTTTAGAAGTTATTACGAATCAAACAGGAGTACTTTTTTTTGGGACACCCGGTACATCTACATTTTATTAAGTCGGTAAAAATCGGACGATTATCGCACCAACTATAACAATACAAAATACAAATTCAAAAAACCTAACTACAACTATCTCAACCAATCAATAATAAAATATTACTTAATAAAATTCTTGAGTTCACTCTTGAAAGTATCTAGAGTTTCTGATAAAACTAATTCCTTAGGAAGACTGTTCCACTCAGTTAGCGTTCTAGGAACTGTGCCCTGCGGTACGCCAGAAGTAACTGTAATAGGAGTTGATGTCGCGCCATCACATACCACAACTTGACTTCGATCTATAAGAAACGACTTAAACCATTCTTGGAGTGGACCCCGGATCCCATAGTACTCCAACTTCGTCAATAATCTCTGATGAGGGACTTTATCAAAAGCTTTTGAGAAGTCTAAAATAGCCAAATTTACTTGTTTGTTTTGTTGAATAGCATTAGTAATATCATGAGCAGTGCATATCAGTTGAGTTTCTGTGGATCGTTTAGCCCGGAAGCCGTGCTGATTATCAATGAGTATGCGATGCCTTTCGAGATGCTTCATTAAGTGGCTATGCACAATGTGTTCTTAAATCATGCTTACCGCTTTTGACCTTTTAGAATAGTAAATTGAGTAAAATCATTTCGAGCAAAATTGGCGATAAATTGAAAAAGACATAATACATAAACCATATCAATACAACATGAAATAGTGGTGAAAGCTCAATATTTCAATTTTGTA